TTGCTAATTCTAATGCCCAATTGTAACCTCAGTTTATTTTTTCTCATTATTGGTCTCCTCTCAGCTTAGTGGTAATGAAAACAAAGCAGCCTTGGCCAGCCATTTATGTGGAAGGAAATTGTGAGCACAGCATGTCTCATCAAAGCAATGGGTTCTGCTGTGTTTTTTGTGTATGGTATAACTGGACATCCCATCTAGTCAAGAAAACCCAGCTCTGGATGAAGCCAAAAGAAGACACAGGGAATGAGACAAAGTTTATCAGGACCATGAATACCTACAGGTTGTAGGCTGAGGGAACCCAGGACCAGCTCAGGATGCTTTGTTTTCCATTCAGAGCCTGACCCTTCTGTCTGAAGTAGGTTCCAGGCTAGTTTGGAAAAAGGGCAGTTTTGGCTAGAGGGATTTGGGACACAAATGGCTAGGTCTTCAGCTGTCATAAATCAATGCATTTCCATCTGTAATAATGTCTGGAACACACTGAGAACATCTTTCTCTGTTTCTGAGCAGGTTTGTTCCATTTAAGACTGCTTCCAATTTTCATACAGTCTAAGATGTTCAAGTCTGAGAGTTTTTTGCTTGGAATAGAATCTCACAAAAGAATAATATTTGAGGGCATTTCTGGAGCATAAGCAGTTTATCAGTAAGTAACAACTTGCATTGCAAGTGCTTCCCCAGAAGGGTCAACTGACAGAGGTGTTTTCCACACTCCCCTCAGAACTGTAGGTTTTTGCTCTTCCATCATGTGATGCTCTAAGAAATGAGGCTACACACGTACGTTTAATATTATAGTTCCCTCGTGATATCTTCACTTTCCTTAATGAGGGCAGTGTTGCTAACTTGTTAGGAGCCTGAGGACTGTATCAAATTAACATAGCATGGAGGAGAAATTAACAGAGAGAGGAGCTCCTTGCATGAAATGGAATGAGATCACTGATGGCCCTTTCTTCAGTCATTATTTTTGTATTACAGACAAAATGTTAACAAGGATAATATAGAACACTGTTACTCAGAACTGGGATGCCCTTGTTTTTATTCAATAACCTGAATGACCAAAAGTAATTAATCCTTCGCCATACTAATTATATAATAAAGGAAGCATGATTTGGGTGTTTAACTGTGAGAAAGAAAAGGAAGGGGCATGGGTCTTGGTAAAATTAGTGGGGAGAAACAACAATGCATAAAAGAATCTTTTAGTTTTGCATGTGTTTACACATGAGTACTGTTGTCTCAGTAGGATAATGCTGTGCTGCTGCTAACATGCAAGAAGTCAGAATGCGGCTCTTTTTATACTTCATCATAAAGCAAAATCTGGCAAGGGTTAGAGAAAGCAACAAAGGAGTGCAGGAGAATGGACTCATGAAGTGAGGGGAGTTTCAACAGAGACATCCATACTATGTTTGTCTTTAAAATTTTCCTTTGCAAAACATGGTTGACAAAATACACCCTCTCTGCAGTGATTTTTGTTAGCCATACATATCACTCTTTTACAAGCACAAAAGGTACACAAAGAAGTCAGCAAACTGGGAGGGTGTGTGAAATGTAGAGCCCGTGTAATGTTTGTAAAGATCAAATTGCTGCAGCCTTGGCCTTTTAGTGCTTGTGGCTTGCTTGTGCAATGATAGTTCCTAAAAAGGGCTGTAAGCACTCATTGCAGGACATCTGTTCTGCAATGGCAATGGGGGCAAGGTGCTGCTTCCCCACAACCTTCATTTGTGGTTTCACTGTGCAAAGTGGGTGAGTCACTACTGACAGATCCAAGGAGCTGTAAGCCCAGGCATGATCAGTGTGCTGACAGCAGCAGACATTCTTCTAGATAATGATTATTGCCAAATATCTCTTTTTTTTTCTGGCAAAGTCTTCCTCTCAGCTTCTATGATTCTTGAATGCTGGAAATGCTGGAGGCAAAAATCTCCCCTCATCCCCCTGCCTAGGTGCCATGTGCAGGGGCATCTTCCCCTGCCTGATGGTGGTTATTACAACAAGAGGAGCTAATGAGGGACTGAGCCAGTCCACAGAAACCTGCTAATTAACTTTGGGATACACCTGGTTGTATCTTGTAGTGGTAAACAATTTTATCAAAAGATACCCAAGATCAGCAAAACCAGCTCCGTTCCTCTCTGGCTCTAGGCATACAGGCTGTGCAACGTCTCTGAATCCAGTAAAGAAGCCCTGGCCAGCAGCATTTTTGTACCAGTGTAGTCATGGGTTAGTTTTGGAAAGCACTTGGTGGCAGCCCAAGCTTGGGTTGGCTTTGGCAAGATGAGCGTGTGGGCATCAGTCCCCAGAGGGCACTGCCATCTGCTGCTGGTGGCACTGGGGAGCTTCACTGCTGTTTGCCAGCAAATGGCTACGAAACACTGGTGGTCAAACCCCACTTGCTTAAAGGCAGCTCACAGTCATGGGCCAGAAGGACTTGTCTTGTTTCTTACAGTTCCAAAGACACAATATACAAATACAAATATGAAGACTTACAAGTCACATCCTAAACTAAACATAAGTATGGGGAGTGATGCTCCTGTGGGGAGAAGTGCTAATTAGTGACACCTTCTGCTACAGAGCCCAGCAACAGACAGGTCTTACTGTAAATGAGTGGTTGGTCTGGAAGGACTATGCTCTAGGGAACCTGCAGGAGTTAGATTTAGCTATGCCAATTGGTAATAATCCGTGGACAATGAACACAGGAGGTAAGATTTGTCAACTAACAGTACAGACAAAATGACAGTAAGATATGCTTTGGAAAAATGACTGCAAGGTTTTATCTTTCTTTTTTCTTTTTTTAACAGTACCATGGTCAAGCGATATGCATCCTTCTCTTGGCAGCATTGGAAGAGAATTGCGCAAAAGAATTTTCCAGGTTCTGCCACAGACCCTCTATGAGATCTTAGTCAAGTCACTGAGTCTCGCTGTACTTTATAACTTGAGGACAGTAATATTTCAGTCCTCTCAATGTCCTTTATCTGTGAGTTTTCTGGCAGAAGCTCTTGATCTGCATTTGCCATCACTAGCCTTCAAGCAGTCAGGGGGGGAAAAAAGCATTCTCTTCCCCAAAGTTGGAAATATTTTGTTGAAAATCTCTGGTTAGAACACTTCAATTTTCAAGCAGAATCTTGAAATTTGCTAAGAAAATCAGACATTTAAAATCAGACATTTCATACAAAATCTTTTTTTTTTTTTTTTTTTTTTTTTTTTTTTTTTTTTTTCCCTGGATGCCACATTTTCTATCAGGAAAAAAAAATAATCTACCCTATTATCTGTAATAGCCAAGCCTAATGGACATATTTCTGGGATGCGGGACTCCTGGGTTCAAAAGCAGACAGAGTACAGGTTAAAATGGGTCTTTTCTATTTCAGTGAATGCCCTGCACCCTCTGGTGTTGGCTGTAACAACACAGAAGCTCTTTCCTTGGCATTTCCTTTCGAGTGGCTCAGGCAGAGGGTGCCTGCTCAATGGGCTGAAACATTTCCTTTCCTCTGGCACTCCACTGAGCTTCCAGCTTCACATGAGGATCCCAGGCAGATCCCTGCAGGCTGCAGGCTCTCCCAGGTGATGGAGAGCCATGCAACCAGGCTCCAGTCCTTCTGCAGAGTCAGCCCCAAAGGATTAATGTGGTTTGTAAGAAAGGCACCCCTCTGTAAATAGACTTTCTTTACGTACCTGTCCTGGTTTCGGCAGGGATAGAGTTAATTTCCTTCCTAGTAGCTGGTACAGTGCTGTGTTTTGGATTTAGGGTGAGAACAATGTTGATAACACACCGATGTTTTAGTTGTTGCTAGACAGTGTTTACACTAGTCAAGGACTTTTCAGCTTCCCATGCTCTACCGACTGAGAATCATGCTCAGCATATAAAGCTGGGGGAAGAAGAAGGAAGTGGGGGACGTTTGGAGTGATGGTGTTTGTTTTCCCAAGTAACCGTTACGCGTGATAGAGCCCTGCTTTCCTGGAGATGGCTGAACACCTGCCTGCCGATGGGAAGGAGTGAACGAATTCCTTGGTTTGCTTTGCTTGCGTGCACGGCTTTTGCTTTACCTATTAAACTGTCTTTATCTCAACCCACGAGTTTTCTCACTTTTACCCTTCCGATTCTCTCCCCCATCCCACTGGGGGGGAGTGAGCGAGCGGCTGTGTGGTGCTTAGTTGCTGGCTGAGGTTAAACCACGACAGTACCATCTGTAATGAAATCCCTTAGGAGTCTGACTTTAAGAGACTATTTGTCGCCACCAGCCACAGTTTTGAAAGTTGAGGATGCAAAGAAATCACTCTCTGGTCTGCTCTGTAGGAATAGCACCCCATCCTCATCTTCCTTTTCCCTTTCCCTTTTGTATTTTTGAAGGATTTCGGCAGTTTCTATCTTCACTAATCTGACTGCATCTAAGTGACAGGGCCACACCTCTTGTCTGTCCCCACATGCTTGCACTAGCTCAACTCTTCAGCTTGTTTCAGGCTGCTGTTGATGGTTGCCTGATTATGACCTTTCACCAGCTTTTGAGGCCCTATATTTTCTGGTAAATCCCAATGTGGCAGTTTAGGGAAGGAAGGTGGACGTCGGGGAAGCTGTCCGATTTTCTGTAGTGGGAATTGGGGACATTTAAGCCTCACAGGCGTCCTGCCAATGCCAGCAAGACCCAGGAGTCAGCAGGCTCAGGCAGTGGGGAGAATTGTGACAGAGCAGGACTGTGGCTGACAGAAGGCCTGCATGGGCCCAGGTGAGCCCCTGGAAACATGCTCGAGAAGCAGGGAGTAATAGTGCTCTGTCCCTGTGTGTACTCAAGCTGGCTTCTTGCAGAGTCAACAAGTAAAGCTTGGGAAATTGCCACAGCTCTTCATCCTTTCCTCCTTCCCTAAAACACAGCTATCAAAACCACAAGTGGATGCTTGTATTTTGTGGGATGAGCCTTTATTGAAATACTTGACATTTAGTTCCTCTGCTCATGTAATTTTCTCTTTTCAAAGGGACATTATACTTTGCATGAGAGTCTCTTGCTGGGTTCTCTAAGCCATTTTTAAGAAACAGTCCATGTAAGTACAACATTCAGGCAAATGCTTAGGCCCAGGCTGCCAGAGGTCAGCATCACAGCCCTACCTGGGAAGTACTTCTGATCAACATAGTTTATGATAGTTGTCACAGCCAATATAGTCTCCTCACATGTGTGTTGGATCTGGTCAGGGGGTAGAACAAATCCATGAGTACCCTTGTCTCACAGTTCAAATGTGTAGGAGAAAGGAATGCCAATCATGTGAGCCCAGTCCCATGAGAAGCCTGAGTTACTGACTGTGAATTTAAAAATAGAGGGGAGATATATGTATTAAGCACGGTTCTTTGAAAATACTTCTTGCTATAGTTAATGCAAGATTATACCAGAATCCCTGAACTAAGCAGTAACCGTATATCACTCTGACATGGAGAGCAGAGTTTCTAGGTGCTGCAATTCTTAATTATACTAAAAGTCTTCCATGGAGTTTCCTAAGTGAAACAATCCTCCATAAGATGGTATTGTACAATAACAGGAGATGAGTTCCAGGGATTCTGTGTTTTTAACATTTTACTGTGATTGGTATGAGGTACAAGATGGATTGGTCATTTGTCTGTTCTGGTACTTCATTTCCTACATTGACACTGCCTGGAATTTCTTTGTAAATTTGTTTTTAAGCATAATTTTGGTCAAGTCTGAAAAATTTATTTCTGTTCATCTGCCTCATGGATCTTTTTTCTTACCTATTCAGCATAAGTACAAACTCTGGCAAAATGCAGTCCTAGGCATGGACAAGTTACCTTATACTTACACTGCATTGCTCATGCAGTAGGTGACTCGTGTGACTCAGGGACTGGCACAGACAGATGCTGTGAATATGCAAAACCACATGGGTACCAGCGCTAACTACTTACTGTTCTGAGTGACTGGCGTGAGTTATTGCTTACTGGGAAAAGATTGGGTTTACCACGCAGTCTCTAGGGCCCTCTAGTCCTCTACATAAAGGCTGTCAGCTAGTATCAGCCGTGATGGTGTGTTTGTGATGTGGCTATCCAGTCTATTAGGAACGAGGCTGAAACCAACATATTTCACACACAACTGCAAGCAGCTGCCATGTGATAATGTCTGATGGAGTAACTATAGACCTGATTGGGATTTTAATTTTTGCTTGACTCCAGTGAAGAAAAATAAGAGTTTTGCTGCTGACTTCAGCAGGGTCAGGATGATCTATCACCAATCTCCTCCTGTCCCCTGTGATGTATCTGTGAGGAATTCATGTAGGAACTAGCTTCTGATCAATGCTTCCTTCCTTCCCGCAGTCAGCTTTATAACGTACAGTGTTATCTTGTATTCAAATGACTGCTGCTTAGATGTTCCACTGAACCAGCCCATTAAATATTACTCAAAGAGGAAACTCAGCAAAGCAGTACTTACTGATGCCTGTGACACAAGAATGACTCTCTTCTTTGAAAAACAGAGCAATCAAAGGGAACCATAAAGAAACTTACATAAAATTAAAGAGGTTGATTCTACTTCATAGCTGGTCCCATACTTTCCCATCAGGGCAGCAGCTGCTTTCTCTGCAGCATGCATCTGTAAGTTCTAAATAGGAACAGCATTGTCATCAGTGCCAGTACATTTGGCAATTATTTTGAGTGGACCAAAATTTTCATCTCTTTAAGCTTTACATTTACGTATGATCAGCTTTAAGTTTTGATACTATTAGTTCAGGACTTTAGAGAAACCCATTACAAACATTTGGGCAAATTGTTCTTGATTTTTTTAAAGCAAATTATGTTAAAATTTTAAAAATTACTCTGCTATTAGATAGAGAAGATATTTGCTTTGTTGTAAAGCTAAAGGGCTGTATTTTGGAGAATTAGTGTCTATGCTGTATAGCATACTGATACTGACTACAGCAGTGATTGATCTCTTTCTTACACTTGTTATATTGCCATAGACTCTGTATCCCACCATCTTCAGAAGCTGAGCCATAGACAGACTAAATGACTTCTCAAATGACTCATATGAAGTCTGAACCCAAGTCCCTCATGCTCTTGACTAGTGCTCCAGCTACTGGAATGTTCATAAATACACATGTTAATGAACTCAAATTAGAACACTCAGAAACTGAGGGGAGACATAACCAAGAAGTAGGTGCCTACTTTGCTCCCATTCTCCTAGTGAGCACATTTGGAATACCCTTTCTGGACACAATCATGACAACCATGTGTGTATAATGTGCTGGCATCCTAAAGTGCAAACGCATTCTTGTATGCAGCAAGAACTTTGTACTCTTCTCCACTTACCTTGCATTGCAGTAACCCTATCTGTGGTCATTCAATTTTCCTGATTTAAGATGAAGGATTAGGATTAATTCTGAGGCAAATAAACCTTGCTGATACTGCACGGAGCGGCAGTGACTCTGGAAGCCAAGCCCCTGAATAAGCCCAGCTCCTCTGAAGAAAAGGCAAGAGGGCAAATATAGTTGTGCCACATGCTACTGCCTGTACTTGTTCTCTACAAGTGTAGAACATGAATATTTTGCCCTACCAGTTCTTCACTGTTACTTGGAGGTTTAGTTGTGGAACCATACGGAGTGAGGATTGTAGGAGTGAATTGTTAAATAGCACAAAATGTCACTCTTCTTCCTTTCGATAAACTGAGCCGCAGCTCTTGTCTCAGGCTCTGATTCTGGTCCAGATCCACAGAAGATTTCACTGCTGCAGTTATAAGAAACACCAATACCTGGAGAGGAATACGAAAAGTGAATCAAAGGAGAGACGTATAAACACCAGTTCAGAGGGAACAGGGAAATTTACCTTGGAGTGTTAAGGCATGTGTTTCTGTGGGCAGGGAGACTAGACAGTTCAGTGGGACTTTAACATTTTACTCTGTTGGTAGCAACTAAAATTTGCTACAAGACTGAAATATTTAACGCACATTTACAGGCTGGCTGCAATGAAAACACTCTGACACCACCACAGTGTACCACCTGCCAGGGAATCTTTGGAGGCTCCTTGAAATTCATGGCAAACACAAATACTGGCTGTTAAGTGACTAACTCCTAACATTGCTGCCTAGAGCCGATGCTTGCTCCTGCAGTGAATTAGAGGTATAGTTATATAAGCAGCAATTTTCTGCTCACAAAAATAAATACCAGTTGAAAGTCAATGACTTAATATTTTTACAAACCAGGTTTTTATTTTTACGTATGTCTTGATGACAACAAGATAAGTATTCCTTTCTTATAGGACTTCATCATTTCAGAGAGTAGTTATTATTCTTGCTTTACATTTGTGTTGCTGATCTGAAATACTTGGAACTTACTGCCCCAGGAGGAATTGAAGTTTCGGTTCAGGTCTGTCCCGTAGCAGGTGCCATTCATATGTGGAGAAGGGTTTTTCCTCCACAAATGATCCTAAACAAAAGTAACTTCAGTTACATAATAACGACTCAATGATTCATAGGGCCTAGTGATAATACGGTGTAAAGACTCCTTCATTTTAGACCTCTGCATTCTGAGTAACTCTTGCATTGTAAGAGTGCAACTCTGTGTGTAAGGGTGATAAAGCTTAGTGAGTGACAGAACATTTTATCTACTACAGCCAGGCTGTCATATTCCACAAGCCTGCATGCACCTTGAAATGATCCTCCTGAGCCTTAAAAAAAAAGTATGCTTTTTCTGTAGTACTCAACTGCTTCCATGCAGTGTTGCACTCCTAAGAAAGACTTGGCATTGTGAGGGATGCCTCTGTGTCCAACAGATGATAGCTGAACTTATGTTTGTTTCAGATTCAAGAAGATGAATGCTTTTTTGTCAGCTAATCTTGCTGCTGCTCCTTGGTTCCCTGCTATACTCACTGCTATACTTGGTTCTCTGCAGACCTCACTGCACTGCCTGTATGAGCTTCCCGGCTGAATTACCTGTGCATCCAAGTGCAATGTGTGGTATGCCGCAAACCTGCCAGGGAGCAAGCTGGGAGACAGCAGGATCCACATGGTGGTAGGCTGAGCCTGTTGGGCCATGCTGAGGTCCTGCATTAAAAGGCGTTTCGACTGAGCTCAGGAGCCTGGAGGCATGATGAGAGTTGCTGAAGACCAACACTTTGCATTATCCTCCATATCTGAAAAGGAAGATTATTTGGGAGGGCACACCTATTTCAAAACCAAATAGCCCAATATTTGATCAATTCTCCTCCCGTCCCATGCTGCAAAGGTGCTTAGACCCATCTGCTAGTTGAGATCTCTTGCAAAGAATGACTGACTCCTCTGGACACACTTAACTCCATCAACCAAGCCTTGAGCTGTTAGCAGGGGAGTAAGTCCATCCCCAGAAACCCAAAAGCAATTGATCCTGTAGTTTTGTCCTTCTCTCTTCCCGAGGCTCATGACATTTGCTAGGAATTTTTAGCCCTGTAATCTCAGGTGACTGCTGATTTACCAGAAGAAACAAAACCTCTCTGCCATGAGAGGATTTGTGTGAGTAATGATTCTGTCACTGTTCTCTGTTTAAATATAATTGCTATGATTGTATCTAAAATTAACAAAACATGCTGTGCACATCTAACTTGCAATCTAGTTCCTGGATTTTCACTACTTACTTACTTTTTCCCAGGAATAGATGTAGCCATCAATATTGACGACTGGCAAGATGCAGAGGTCCAAATTCTGCGGAAATCTGCTTATCTTTGGGTCATATTTGTAATTTTGAAGAATCTGAAAAGAAAAAATACAGAGGACTGAGCAGAGAACCTAGTGGTAATCACTGGAAAGAGCTAGTTTAGAACTATCATCAGGGAATCACTCACTCCTGGATATCACCGTGGTATCCAAGATCTACTTTATCCCCAGATATGTTAAGATATCTACCTTTTGCCATTAACAAAGTGATGATGTTCCCAGTTACAGTGTACTTCATATGGATACAGTCTTGCAGGTATGAAAGCTGTATGATAGAGTACCTGTGCGCCAGGTACTTTCAGTACACGTGGAACATTGCTATACCACATCTTAGGGTTGCTTTATTCCAGGGGGACCTTGGCTTTTTGATGCAGAGAGGCTTGATCCAAAAGCCACTGTGGGAAATGGAGAGATTGCTATCTAGTTCAGTGGCTTTGGAATCAGTTCATGTGGAGGAAACAATGTGCTAACAAATATTGTCCCATATCTCATCTCAAATTGTGATTTGTACTTAGGTCTCCACAGATATCTGTACCATGTACTAATTTTGAAAATCATGTTTCAACAGAAAAGCATAATTCTTGGTACCACAATAGAGAAGAGAACTGAAGTATCCAAAGTGATATGGTTTTTTTATTATCTAAGTGGAAAAGTGAGGACTCACTTCTTTCACAAACCACTGGCAGAAGGCTGGAGAGATCCATTCTCTGGCATGAATCCCACAGTCCATCCAAATGATCTTTTTGGTTTTATCTGATGGTTGACTGATCTGAGAGAGTGTAAAAATGATCATCTGGAAAACTGTTACATTACAATAAAATAGCCTAGCTTAATACAGAAAGAAAAGGATGTGCCTTGATATGCCATTGAGACATCTGAGATTATTATTATTACAGACATCATTATGACAAGCTCTCCTTCCTAATAACCCCATCTCTGTAGTATCACAGGGCAAGAGTTTTAAAGTGTCTGTTGAGCAGGAGTGTCAATAAAACAGTTTCTTTTTCATTTATATTAGTCATTCACAGGACTGATTGTTCTTACTTTGAGATTCTTTTTTTTTTTTTCTAGAAGGGGAAGCACAAAAAGGCAGGGAATCTAATTTCACTCAGTGATAGGAACAGATTAGACAATAACTAACCCAATTATTAAGACTATGGTTTTTACTAGGGCGTCCAATAAAAAATGTCAAGGAATACTCCTAGCAGAAAGGCTATATGCTGTAAAAGGTAATAAAACCAACAAAACAAAACTCTTTATCCTCACACACAGCTGTTGCCAAGCTAATTTCAGCTTGATTTGTATTTCTAAACAAGACTTCAGTTAAATTTGTTGTTTTCACTGCATAATAGCAATAGCAAGGTTATGGTAATAGTATATATGAAAGCTGTCAAATCTTACTGAACTGTAGACAAGTAAAACCATCTCCTGTTATTTCAGTGAATTGGGATGAGCACTGTCTTAGGAAAGATCTGAATCCTGCCTTCTCCTGTGTACTTTTTTGTGAAGATACCTTTTAGTCCTTTTAAGAAAGTTCCTCCCTTACCTGCAGATAATACATTGTTTGATTCTCGATTGTCTTCCCCAGGTAGTGCTGAGTCACCAGCCCACTGTGGCTCTTCTGGATCTGAGTTATCCATTGATAAATCTGAAATAGTCACAGAGAATTCATGGTCCAAAGTGGGAGTTTCCTTCTCTTTCACACCTCCATTTCTAGATTAAAACATTTTCTTTTGCTTAGACAAGCAACGTTTTCCTCAGAGCTTATTTCAATCTGTGGTATCACTTAACACTCATGGAAGGCCTTTCATTTGCTTCTGAGCAAAGGTATGGTCATACCTCACTGGGTGTTAAAAGATAACATCACTGCAATACAACACTGGTATTCTATTCTGGATCTCATTCAACATGCCCATCCTATTGGGCATCTTTCTCTTCACTTCACCAGACATGGAGTGACACCATCAAATCTTAGAATCATAGAATCATAGAATAGTCTGGGTTGGAAGGGACCTCTAAAGGTCATCTAGTCCAACCCCCCTGCCATGGGCAGGGACATCTTCAACTAGATCAGGTTGCTCAGAGCCCCGTCCAACCTGACCTGGAATGTTTCCAGGGATGGGGCATCCCCCACCTCTCTG